CAGCACGGGTAAAAACATAAGCCACACAGCAAAAAACCAAACTAGAGGAATGAAGTGGTACTGTATATTTGTGTTCATTTTTTAACTTTATTGGTACATTTTAAATATACACAAGGATAACGTTATTCATAGGGCACTTGTACTGTACATAATACATCTTGCCTCTTTTTCCTTTTCCCCTCCCCTCCCTTCAACCCCTCTTCTTCTTATTTACAAAAACTTTGTTTCCATTTTTTTCCTTCTATTTTTTTTTAATCTAGACCCTTCGTTCCTTTGCCCCTCCTCCCTTCCCTTGTTCCCCTTCTCATTTGAACATCATCTTCCCATTTCCCAATATCTATTATACATTTTGGTCCTTATTTACACTTTTCGTTTCTTATACCCAGAGAAACAGTGCAGTATTCAAATGTGTGTCTGGTTTATTTCACATAAGAATATGGTCTCAACATATGTCCATTTAGCTGGAACTGTCTCAAGTTTATCTTTCTTTATGGCAGAATAGTACTCCATTGCATAAAAAACTACATCTTATCCATTCATCCATTGATGGGCATTTGGGCTGTGTCCAAGCTTTGGCTATTACAAACTGTGCTGACTGACACTATGAAATGGGAAGAAAGGGGCTAAAAAGGTGTAGGGAAAGAGGGGAGGGTAGGGGAAAGGGAATAAGGGAAAAGAAAAAAGATCTGAGAAAATGAAAAGATGGAAATAAAGTGTTTGTAAATGGGGAGGGGAGGAGGAGGTGAAGGGAGGGCAGGGACAAGGGGCAAAAATGAGAACCCAGACCTGTCATGTAAAGGTACAAGGTCCCAATGATGAATGTAACTGTGCTGTATACCTAAAATGTACCAATAAACTAAGAAAAAAACAAAACTGTGCCATTATAAGCACAGGTGCACATCTATCACTGTGGTATGATGCTTTTAATTCTTTCAGGAAGATACCAAGAAGCAGAATACCTGGGTCAAATGGAACCTCTAGTTTTAGTTTTTTGAGGAATCTCCACACAGATTTCCACAGTGGTTGCACCAGTCTACACTCCCACCAACATTGAGAAGCGTTTCTTTTTCCCCACAGCCCCACCAGTTTGTTTTTGTTTTGGTTTGGTTTTGTTGTTGTTGTTGTTGTTTGGTTTTTGTTTTGTTTTGTTTTTTGAAACAGGGTCTCACTACGTAGTTGAGACTGACCTGGAACTCACTATGTAGCCCAGGCTTGTCTTGAACTCACAGCGATGCTCCTGCCTCGGCCTCCCAAGTGCTGGGATTACAGGCATGTGTCACCATGCCTGGCTCAGCATTTGTTGATTTCTTGATAATTCTTTCTGGAATAAGATGGACTTTCAGAATTGTTTTAATTTGCACCTCTAGAAAGACCAGTGATGTTGAACATTTTTTTCATATATTTAGTTGCCATTTCTACTTCTTCATCTGAGAAATGTCTATTCATTTCAAACGTCTGTTCTTAGATTGGGTCTTTAAATTTGGGGACTGTGTGTGTGTGTGTGTGTGTGTGTGTTAGTTCTTTATATATTCTAGATATTAGTCCTTTATCTGAGGAATATCCAGCAACTTTTTTTCCCATACTGTGGACTGTCTCTTCACTCTTTCGTTGGTCTCTTTTGCTGTGCAAAAGCTTTTTAGCCTGGTATGGTAGCACACACCTATGGTCCCAGCACTCATGAGGTTGAGGTAAGAGGAGTCCCATGAGTTCGAGGCCAGCCTGGGCTACACAGTGAGTTCAAGGCTACTCTGAATTACAGAGCAAGATCCTGTTTCCAAAAAAATACCAAAACAGATCAAAACACAAAAAAAATTTTTAAGCCTTTTAATAAAATAAGATCTCAGTTATTTATTCCTTGTGATGTTTCCTGTGCAAATGGAGTTTTGTTCCTAAAGTTTTTGCCTACACCAATGTCTTTAAGAGTTCTACCTATTCTGTGTTCCAGCAGATTTAATGTTTCTATTTTAATATTTAGATATTTGATCCATTTTTATTTTAGTTTAGTGCATGGTGAAAGATATTGGTCTAGTTTTAATCTTTGACAGGTGTAAGGCCAGTTTTTCCAGCTATCTTTTATTAAAAAAGGCTCTTTCTTCCAGTGAAGGTATTTGGCTCCTTTGTCAAAAATGACATGGCTAAGTGTGTGTGGAGTTGTTTCTGCATCTTCTAATCTGTTCTATTTGTTTTTGTTTTTGTTTCTTTGGTACCAGGGATTGAACTTGCACCTATGAGGCATGTGGCAGCACCACTAAGCTAAATCCCCGGCCTCTAATCTATTCTATTGATCCTCGGGTTTGTTGTTTTGCCAGTACCATGTTGTTTTTATCACAGTAACTTTACAGTATAACTTAAAATCAGGGATTGTGCCTTGCCTTTGTTGCCCAGAACTGCTTTCACCATTCTAGGTCTCTTCTAATTCTAAATATATTTTAGGGTTGTTTTCTCTAATTCTGTGAGATATGCTATTGACATTTTGATTGGGATTGCATCAAATCTATATAACAATTTTGGAAGTATAGCCATTTTCACTATATTGGTTCTTCCTACCCAAGAACAAACATATCTTTCCCTTTTTTGATAGCTGATCTGATCTTTTTCAGAGTACTGCAGTTTTCAATGTAGAGGGATTTCACTTTCTTCATTAGATTGATTTCTAGGTATTTCATTGTTTTGGATGCTATTATGAGAGATATTGTTTCCCTAATTCCTTTCTTAGTGAATTTGTTATGATATTGATTTTTGGGGGGTACTGGTGATGAAACTCAGGACCTTGCACTTGTGAGGTACTTTAACTTCTTCCTTTCCTATTCTTATTCCTTTTACTGTTTTTTCTTATCTAATTTTTCCAGAACTGTACTAAAGAGTGGTGATAGTGGACATCCTTGTCTTGTTCTGATTTTAGAGTTAAAGCTTTCAGTTTTTGACCATTTAGTATGACATTGGCTTTGATTTATCATAGATTGCTCTTGGTGGGGGGTTGAGACAGAGTCTCACTATGTAGTTGAGACTGACCTGGAACTCACTGTAGCCCCCATTAGAGTTAAAGCTTTCAGTTTTTGACCATTTAGTATGACATTGGCTTTGATTTATCATAGATTGCTCTTGGTGGGGGGTTGAGACAGAGTCTCACTATGTAGTTGAGACTGACCTGGAACTCACTATGTAGCCCAGGCTGTTCTCAAACTCACAGCAGTCCTCCTGCCTCAGCCTCCCGAGTACTGGGATTACAGGCATGCACCACCATGCCCAGCCCATAGATTGCTTTTATCAGATTGAGAAAATGACCATCTATTCCAATTTCTATAAGTTTTTTAAATCACGAATGGGTATTGGACTTTGTCAAATATTTTTTCTGCATCTTGAGATGATGGCTTTTGTCCTTAGCTCTGTCACTATGGTATATTACATTTATTGATTTGTGTATGTTGAACCATCCCTGCATCCTTGGGATGAATCCTACTTAGTCATGATGTATAATATTTTTTATGATCTGCTGCATTCTGTTTGCCTGTATCTTACTGAGGATTTCTGTGATGTGTTCATTAGGAAGATTGGCCTGGAGTTCTCTTTTTTGGTTGGATGCATCTCTGGTTTTGGTATCAGGGTAATGCTTGGTTCCAAAAATGAATTTGGGAGTACTGCTTCCCTTTCAATTTTATTAAAGAGTTTGAGAAGTAGTGGCATTAGGTCTTCTCTAATTTTGGAGGGGAGTACTGGGGATTGAGCTCAGGACCTTGTGCTTGCAAGGCAGGTGTGGTGCCACTGAGCTAAATCCCCAGTTTCTCTAAATTTCTTGTAGAATTCAGCAGTGAATCCATTAGGACCTGGGATTTTCTTTGTTGGCAGATTTTTTACTTACATCTTCAATTTTATTGGCTGATACTGGCTTATTTAGAATTTTTATATCTTCTTGATTCAGCTTTGGTAATTCATATCTATCTAGGAATCTGTCCATTTCTTCTGTGTTTTTTATCTTATTAGAATACAGATTCTTAAAGTAGGTACAGATGATCAGGATTTCTGCAGTATCTGTTCCTTTTCATTCCTAATTGCATCAATTTGAGTCTTCTGTTTCCTTTTTTGATAAGATTGGCCAAGGTTTATCAATTTTATTTAATCTTTCAAAGAACCAACTCTTCAAATCATTGATTGTTTATATTGTTTTCTTAGTCTCCATTGCATTAATTGCTGCTCTGATCTTTATAATGTCCTGTCTTTGAGATTTATGCTTGACTTGCTCTTCTTCTAGGAGCTTGAGGTTCAACATTAGGTTGTTTATTTGAGCTTGCTCTGTTTTTCTGACATGGGAATTTCCCATTATAATTTCCCTCATAGGACTGCTTTCATTGTATCCCATAAGTTCCGGTATGTTATATTGGCATTATCATTTAATGGTCGATATTGTCTAATTTCTCCTTTAATTTCATCTGTGACCCATTGGTTGTTTAGGAGAGTATTATTTAATTTTTGTGTGTTTATGAAGTTTTTGTGGTTTCTATTGCCATTGATTTCCAATTTAATTGCACTATGGTCTGATAATATGCATGGGATAATTTCAGTTCCTTTGCATTTATTTAAGCATGTTGTATGAGCTAGTATGTGATTTATTTTGGAGAATGTCCCATGTGCAGCTGAGGAGAATGTGTATTCTGATGATGTTCATTTATAAAAGACAAGCGATCTTGATATAGGAATGCAGAGACTTTTCTAGCAGTTGAGGTACATGAAGAATATAGTAGGACCTCTGTTTATTTTATTTTAACTGTCATCACTTAAATATTTGCTTTACATAATGTGCATCTTTATTATTTCAGATTTTGTTTGTTTTATTGTTTTTAAGATAATTATCCAGGCTGGCCTTAAATTCACGATCCTCTGGTCTCAGCTTGCCAAATGGCTGGGATTACAGACATGCACCACCACACCCAGCAACAATTTACATATTTACACAGTTTAATCTATAAGTAAACATATTGTGAATGCTCAGGAATGTATTTACAGGGAAATGTGCATTATCAAAAAGTTTGGAATCTGCTATCAAGTAGTCATGTTCTTTGCCACAGGAATGTACCAGGGGTGGAGTTTTTCCAACAGCATGGAATGAATTTTGGCAGGGAAGCCTGAGTTGTTGGTGTGAACTGAAGCCTGTTACATTCTACTTAAGGCAACAGCAGCAGCAGGGGACTGTCTTTGCTCCAGAAGAGAGGAGACAGCAGTCCTAGGAAGCCTGGAAAGTGGTGTCTCTCCCAGGTCCTCCAGAAAAGCCAGGTGGGATGTCTGTTGCAGCCAAGGTAGCCTGAGGCATCACTAAGAGGAGAGAAGAGACACCTGGTCATTCTCCAAACCTCGCATGAAGCATCTCCTGTCTTTATCTGGGAAGCAAATACATGCCATCTTAGTTTTCACTTCTCCCTGGGACAAGCCTGGGAGCGCAAGAGAAAGTGAATGATGGGCCTAATCTTTCCCAGATTTGTACAAAGTGATCCTCCACCGACTGGAAGAATACCACGCAGGCGCCAGGGAGCAGGGCAGCCACCAGAGGAAGGGCCCCAGACACTGGTTCCCTCTGTGATGACGTCAGTGCTGTCTCAGCAGGAGGCTGCTGGAGTCTCAGTGCTGACTCTGCCTGCAGAGTGGGAAGCATTCTCCTAAGTCCACACCAAACTGGGAGGTCAGAATGAATATTGACTAAAAACAGCCTCGATGCAAACAATGTTTTAAGGACCCATAGAAAAGGGTTGGGAAGACAGGCCACACACACTGGACTGGTCTGTGCACAAACAGAAACAAAATCCCAGCTGATGGAAGGTTATGAATTAAAAGAAGTAAACATCAGGCTCACATTCCCATGCTCTTTCTGCAGACTTCAACTCTTTCCTTCAGCCAGTTACTTATCCCTTGATACCAGCAACACAAGGGGACTGGGCTGGGGAGTGCAGCTCAGTAGTAGAGTACCTGCCTATCAGCTCTGGGTTCAATCTCCAGCACCACAAAAACAAACAGACAAACAAACAAAAAAGATAATGGAAGAAATCTTCCCACAAGTAATCGTTTAGTGCAGGGTGGCTAAACTACCACCCACAGAGTGCAACTGGATGAAGTATCCACTTCCTCTGAATATTTACCTCCTGTTTTCTCTCTCTCCATCACTCAGACAACCCCAAGATCCGGCTACCTCGGGCCCTGAGGCAGACCTACATCCGGAAGGTTGGAGACACAGTGAATCTACTAATCCCATTCCAGGTGATGAATCTAGCCCTCACTGGAACCCGGCTCAGGTTTTGATTGGGAAACAAGTACCAAGAGTCCTACTAGCAGTGGGGCAGTCTTCCTGGCCTTCGGTGGAAGAGGCCACATCACTAGAATTCCGAAGCTAAATGAGCCATGCATTTTGCACTCCTGAGAGTAGGCTTGGTTAGAATCAGGTGTGCCCTGTGACAGGTGATAAGACTAATCCCCGCCCTTCGGTCTGCAGGACCTGCAAGTTCTCACTTCGGGAGTTTGGGTAGCTATTTAGTTGGTTCCAGTCCCTCTGGGTGTCCCTGATCTAAACTTTCAGAGGGTGGGAGATTCAAAGTCATCCCCTTTTCAGCTGTTGCTGAAAGGAAGAAGTCCTCTGGAAGAGTCCACCAACCTCTAGCTCAAGAAATTTGCAGCTGCAACTCAGGTTACCCTGTGGACCTGGGGTGGATCTGACCCCTAGTGCAGCAAGGAAGGTCTGGAAAGCTGTTGGGCTGCTCAAGCCTTATCCCCATTCCTCAGGGTAAGCCCAAACCTCAAGCCATCTGGACACATGATGGACGTGCCTTGGACACCAGTCGGGTGAGTGTGCGGAATGGGGAACAAGACTCCATCCTCTTCATCCGAGAAGCCCAGCGTGCCGACTCAGGCTGCTACCAACTCTGTGTGCAGCTGGGTGGACTAGAGGCCACCGTCACTGTTAACATCCTGGTGATCGGTAAGTTGGGGGAGTGGGAGGTGAGGTGGTCCCTAGGATCCTTCTGCTGAAGAGGCACTATCCTAAGGAGCTGAGGAAGCTGGGGTGAAATCCCCCCACTCTGAGTCTGGGCAAGAGCAGGGGTCTGGGAAGAGGATGGTGTCAGGGGGATTCGAAGTGATTTTGGTACTTAGCACTTGTACTGTGCCGCTGCTGTGACTTTGCTCTTTCAGAGAGGCCAGGCCCTCCCCAGAGTATTAAGTTGGTGGATGTTTGGGGCTCCAACGCTACCCTGGAATGGACAGCTCCCCTAGATACAGGCAATACAGCACTCCTGGGATACACGGTGCAGAAGGCTGACACAAAATCTGGGGTGAGGCCCAGCTGGGAAGGAGGGAGGGAGGATCGTGGACCAGGCATCTGACAGCTCACATATGGCGTCTTCTGGGGACCCTGCAGCTATGGTTCACTGTGCTGGAACATTATCACCGCACCAGCTGCATTGTCTCCGACCTCATCGTGGGCAACTCCTATGCCTTTCGTGTCCTTGCTGAAAACCAGTGTGGACTCAGTGAAACAGCCCCTGTCACCGCCGACCTTGCTCACATCCAAAAAGCAGGTAAGCAAGGCATGGAGGACGCGTGCTGAGAAGACTTAGAGAGAAAGCGGTGAAGAGGTATGGGGATCTCAGATGCTACATCATGGCCTCTCCTGCGCCTGCAGTTACTGTTTACAAGAGCAAGAGGTTTGCTCAGCGAGACTTCTCTGAAGCTCCAAAGTTTACCCAGCCTCTGGCAGACTGCACTACAATCACTGGTTATGATACCCAGCTCTTCTGCTGTGTCCGTGCCTCTCCCAAGGTGAGGGCTGCTTCCTAACTTTAGCCAGGTTGCAGAGCGTTCTAATTTCACATCTACTGCCATTGCCACCATCTGCCTCTTAAACAGCAGGGCATGTAGTTCAAGGTAGGTATTATAAATATGTTTCCTTTTAGTTCCTCATTATACAAAGATACCGCTTCCTGACCTGCTGTCATTGTGCTGTTTATCTGGTAGGAGAAGATGGAGTCCCACTGCTTTCTCCTTACCCACCTGCCCATGCCTCTTCTGAGCAGGGCCATGCCCGTGCAAGTTACCTAGCTGAGCCACTGGCTACCACCTGGAGTGAGGCTTTTGATATATAATCTGGTCACCACATTCCACATCATTAACAAGGTTTACCAGCTACCTGTGGAGTCTGTGTGCTGGTCCATACTACATGGAAGGGGGATCTCAATAAGTCCACTCCACAAGCCCCTTTTTAATTAGAGGGGTAAAACTACCCAGAAGCCAACATTGGGTGCAGAATGTGGATAGGTCTCAATATACATATGCAGGGGCTGGGGATCTAGCTCAGTGGTGCCACCACCTGCCTCACAAGCTCAAGGACCCAAGTTCGGCCCCTGGTACCAAAAAAAAGAAAGAAAAAAAAAAACAAAAATCAAACTCTCTCTCTCTCTCTCTCTCTCTCTCTCTCTCTCTCTCTCTTTCTCTCTCTAATCTATCTATATATGCATAGTACATACATAAGACCCCAGGCATCAGTCTTTTATGATCCATGAAAGGCTGCCCAAGTAGTGAGAATGAAGTTATTACTTCTCTTTCAGTCAAGAATAACTTGATGGAGAAGGGAGGGTTTCAGATGTTCTTTTCAACAAAGAGGATTTTGGAGGACTGTGGAAGGTACTGGAAGGGGAATTCCTTCTCACATTAGGGAGAGGGAGTCCCTACAAGTCTTGAAGGAAAAGAATTCCAAATGCTGAGCAAAGAAAAAGCAATTGGTTCTTACTTTGCCTTGCTACCCCCTTGTCTTTATCTTTCAGCCCAAGATCATCTGGCTGAAGAACAAGATCGATATCCAAGGCAATCCCAAGTACAGAGCCCTCAGTCACCTGGGAATATGCTCCCTAGAAATTCGAAAGCCTGGGCCCTTTGATGGAGGCATCTATACTTGCAAAGCAATTAATGCCTTGGGCGAGGCGTCTGTAGACTGTCGGGTGGATGTGAAGGGTAAGGGCATGAGGGGTCCTGATGCCTTAGGCTGTGGTCATCTTGCTCCAATGATGAAAAGGTCAGCAGCCAGAGACACAGGCCAAGACGGAGAAGGGCTTCCTTCTCCAGGCCCTCTCACCCTTGTCAGAATATACTTGGATGTATTTGAGGAGCCAACTTTATTATCTGTTTTGCTTCTCTCCATTACAATTCTGTAATATAGGAAGAATGGTTATTTCCATTTGCAAAGGAGAAACCTGAGGCACACAGAGGTAACTGGTTTACCCAAGGTTTCCAATGTCAGCGGAGGAGCTGACCCAATAGAAGAAGAGCACCCAAGTCTCCTGTCCCTCACTCAGATCCTTTTTCTTTAACCTATCCAATCTTCTGACTCAGTCTCAGAAAGCTACATCTGTTTTCTCTGCTTTCTTTTACATTTTCTTCTGGTTTGAAAATGATAGCACACATTCTCCCTGCCTCTTTGAAGTAGTTACTCAGCCAGATGTGGTGGCCCACGCCTGTAATCCCAGCACCTGGGAGGCTGAGGGAGGATGCGAGCTTGAGGCCAACCTGGGCAGCTCCGTGAGCTCAAGGCAGGCCTAGACTACATAATGAGACCTTGTCTCAAAGAAAGAAGGAAGGAAAGAAAGAGAGAGAGAGAGAGAGAAGTTAATCATTTCTCCACTACTGCATTTAGAATTGTGTTTTATAATTATCTATTTATCAGTCAGTTTTACTATTTAACTATAAGCATGATGAGAGCTGGGGCAGTGTCCAGCCTAGTTTCTGACACACAATGGGCACTAAGTGTTTGTTGCATGGATGAGGAATGAATGGACTTTTAGATGTCCTATTCTCCTTTATGTATAGACTTCCTAACTGTCACCTTAAAGCCTAAACTAGAATATCCCTTCCTAAGGCTCTGAAAGAAGGTTTCCCAGGATTTCTGAGAGGTTAACATTGAGAAATGTTTGCATTCTTGCAGCTCCTTATTGAGACAGCCCGTAAGGACACAGTGCCCGAGAAAGGTGAGGAAAGAAGATCAGGGCATCTCAATGGGTCATTGTTGTTCAATCTGGGACCAATATTCCTGAGCCTCTCAACTGTATACCCCTTGGTGGCCACTTTTTAAAAAAACGAATACTATCACCCCTGGGGAGGGAATCTGTCACAGAGGAAGTCTGATTTTGTCACATTGTTTGTATGTCTGTACTCCCCAAGTTGGTGACAGAAATCCAACCTGATGGTCCTCTGAAGAAGGGTAAGAATTTCTACCTAATTGTGAGGGGTCTGTGGGAGGATGTGGGCAGGTACTGTGAGAAAAGATGTCAAGGGAATAGTTAAGAGTGAAGAAATGAGGGCTGGGGATTTAGCTCAGTGGCACCATGCCTGCCTCACAAGCGCAAGGTCCTGAGTTTGATCCCCAATTTAAAAAAAAGAGCGAAGCAATAGACAAGAGGATTCACCACAAGGTACCCAAGTGAATAGGGACAGGATTAAGTATTTCTACCTCAGTTTTATATGAAGGGAAACAAATAGATTAACTTGTTTATATTTTACATTTTATAGTACATTAAATTCCATGCATTCCTTCCTAAGAGAAGAAAATCACTTTTTTTTCTTTTTGAAATAGGGTCTCACTATGTAGTCCAGGCTAGCCTTGAACTCACTATGTAGCTCGGGCTGGTCTCAAACTAGGGGCAATCCTCCTGTCTCAGCCTCCTGAGTGCCGAGATTATAGGTGTGTACCAGCACACCTGAACCACCATTTTTATTTTATGTTAAGAATAATTTAACATTTGATTAGGAGGTTCCCACGCAGCTCATTACTGGCAAAGGGCTGCCAGATCATCATTTAGGATCTGGTAGCTCCTTCAAAGTCCAAGTGATTCACAGTCAAAAATATTGTGTTAAATTAATGAGTAAGATGGGGAAAAACAAAGAAGCTTGTGAGAGAATGAAAAAGAGCTAACTCTCAATGTCTCCTCGGCCTTGCAGCTCCTGGCTGAGGAAAACTGAGAATCAATTCAATCCCCTAAGCCATTTATTTAAGCCCATCTTTGATACAAGCAAATAAAAACCCTAAGAGATGCATTAAAAGCACAAATTCTCCTCAGGAGAGCTCTGTCTGCCAGCTGGCTTGCAAAGACAGTTCTGTCCTCTCTGCTCACTTCGGGTTAGTGCTGTGCTGTGCTGCGCCGGTGCTCGTGTCAGCTCCCTGCCCCCATCTCAGTACCCAGCAGTAAGTAATGAACCATAGCACAGGACCGAGGGAGGGACCATGAGGAGGGACAGCTCGTGTCCCTCAAGTACTCTGCCTGTTTGCTACAATGGCTACAACACACCCTTTCTTTTCAGGGTCTCCAGGAAGCCTGATTGGGACAAGACTGTGTTCCTGACACACTTTGGGTTTGGAATAATCGAAATAAAGTGTGGATCCGCAGTGCATCGTGTTCTGTTTAAGACGTTCCATATGGGAAAAACATTTAGAAAGTTGGAATCCTTTAGCCAAACTATGAAATTTCAAGACCCTAAGGCTCCTCTTTCTTCTCCCATATCCACATTCTCTTCCATAGAGGTCTCTAACACTGTCCTAGACAGTCTATGACAAAACCGAATTCAACTCGGAGATGCTGAAAAGAAGAGAAAATGACCTGCTTTCTTTCTCTGTGGACTCTCCACTGTAAGCTGGGGTAACCGGATACACACCCAGCACAAAGCAGCAAACAGCAGAACACACACACATACACATGCATACAGATATAGCTAATTAAAGACACACCCCTAAGCCCTGAGGGCTGGAATGTGAGTTTCCCTCGCTCATATTTGTTTTCGTTCTTAGAACAAATACGGCATCAAAGGCTGCTGGACATGGTGCCACAGGCTGAAGCAGGAGGATCACAAGTTCAATCCCAGCCTGGGCAACTTAGCCACTTAGAGTGACTCTAAATCAAAATAAAAACCAAAAAGGTCTGGGGATATAATTCAATACCAAAATCTTGGGTTCAACTCCTCCCCTGAAAAAAGATACTCAAGGCATTCTGTGATGGGCTCTGCAAAAGTTGGCAAGAGTTCATCCCATGAACCAGCACCATGGCCAAGGGCTCCTCCCACCAAGAGTTGCGCTGTTTCCCCTTCTGAGTCATGTGACTTCTGGAGCCAAAGTAGCACCTAGCTGAGGTAATGCTGTAGCAATTCTGGGCCTGGTGCAGGGGTACAGTAGCGTAGTGTTACTATGTAAGGCGTAATTGTTATTTATTTTGTTCTTGGAAGTCAGCTCTCATACAAAGCATTATTGAATTATGATTGGCCACATGAGGGACATGAAAACACAGAAGACACCAAAGCATTGCTAGACACATGGGGCCAAGTGAGATACTTCAGGCCTGGTCAGGCCCAGTCAACCTGGCGGCATTGAGACAACTCATCCCTGCAGAGCCCTGCCTAAGAATAAAATCATGAACGAATAGCTGTTGTTTCAGACCACTCTTTTTTTTGAAGTGGTTTGTTACATAATAATAGATAACTGGGTCTCAGGAACAGCTCAGTGATAGAGCACTTACCTACCAAGCTCAAGGAAAGGCCCTGCGTTTGATCCTCCACACTGCAAAAACAAAACAAACATGCAATAAATGAAACGGCCTTCTTTGCATCACATACTGAATTAAAGGTTTTATCTCTTTTCATCTATATTTTACAAATGAAGAAGTTGAAAGTTCATAAATCTCCCAAGTCATGTAGCTGGTGAGCAGCAGGGCTGGGATTTAACTCCAGGGCTTTGGTGTCCTCTCATCTTTCACCAAGTGGGCCTGGGTTGGAATCACCAGTTTAAGAAAGAAATTTTTTTTCCGGAGGCCATAAATATTAAGCAAGGTTTTGAGGAGAAAAGGAATGTGATTTAGTTGAGAAGAGAGAGGAAAAGTTTTTTCTGTTCAGACCAAATGTCCAGTCTCAGTTGAGGCCAAGTGCCCTTCCCATGAGGAGGAGTTTCATGAGAATTAAGCCCACATCACAAGGCATCCATTGTAGGTCATAAATTAACTTCTTCCCATGCATCTAAGATGTTAATGAGACAGGAGATTAAGGCATGGCAAACCAGCTGAGCAAGTGAGCTTGATTTGTCAGTAAGGGAGATCCAGGAAATGCACAGAAAAGCTGTTCCCAAGCCCTGCACCTGGGACCAATCAGAGGATGCATCTTCAATTCCTCCAGCAAGAACTGAGGTGTGTTTTTGACAAGACAGCTTAGAGCTGATGTCAGCCTGAAGAGTGGTAGATACAAAAGACAGCTGCCATAGAGCTCTTGGCCGCTGTGTTCTTTCTTTCACAAGTGGCCCGCTGGCTCTCACCCTGCAAAGTGTACTTCTTTTTAACCCCGTCCCCCACAACCATCAGAGATGGAACTCAGGATCTTGAGCTTGCAAGGCAGGTGGTGGAACCACTGAGCTAACTCCCTGGCTCTCCTTTCTTTTAATTGGCCCATATTTGCTCTGCAGAGCATGTTTCTTTTCCTACCTTTAATATATATACTTCACTACCTTTTGCACATGGTTTTTTGAGACAGGGTCTCACTATGTAGTTGAGACTGACCAGGAACTCACTATGTAGCCCAGGCTGGTCTCGAACTCACAGCGATCCTCCTGCCTCAGCCTCCCCAGTGCTGGGATTACAGGCGTGAGCTACCACGTCCAGCTTTTGCACTTGTTTTGTCCAATTCTTTATTCAGGTCAAGAAGAACCTAGAAAGAATATCTAGGAGTCCTCAGAGCCAGCTACCCAAGCACACTATGGCAAAGAGGCCTAAAGAAGCAGGTAGGTTGGAGCACTGGGATACCCCAACTATGATGCCCCAAATATGGATCAGTCAGGCCTCAGGTTATTGCCATTTGCTAAATTATTTGGGGTCCTCCCATTAAAAGTCCTGCATTTTCAACCTTCCTGGTAAAGGAATAAAATCTTCACCATGAACAAGACCTCCAGTCACAGTTAATCTTTGAGCATTTAAGGAATACTGCCCCAAATCCTTAATTTCTGCATCAGACATGTATGGAATAGCCTCTGAGTTAGGCCTACTATGTGGCTGAGAGACTGTAATTTCTTCATTGGTTAATTATCTATCCAAAATTTTAAACAGCTGCTCGTACACATCATTTTGAGGTTGAGGGCAAATACCAATATTTCTCAAAGTAGCGGCCTTATGCTAGGTGACAAATTCTTGTGCTTCAAGTCTGTGCCTTTTTCTGGCTTTGATGTCATTGTGATGGAGGAAAAAGTAGTTTCACTGCTTCTTTCCCCGGGAACTGCAACAGGTTTCCAACTAACTTCCAATGGCTAACCCCTGACCCCTCTGGTAGATAAAGAGGATTGGAGTGCACTGCTCAGGCGGATCCTAGGGTGAGAAAGAATGCATCTTCCCCTCTCATCGTTGCCACTACTTGCCTCAGAGAGGGAAGCTACTGGCCGTGGTTTTCCATCTGTACACCCCAAGCAATTTTAGCAAGGAACTAAAATTCCATCTGGTGCAGCTGAGAGGCACAATCCTCTGATCTCTCAGAATTCTGGGCCTCTCCACCCTTTCTTTTATCTCCTGGCTAAATTCCAAGGCTCCTTTGCTCCCTGACGCATTTATTTGCCTCTGGCACCCCTCACCACCTTAACTTTACAGCCGAAACCTAGAAAGGAAACAAAAAGCCCAAATAATGGTCATAAACTTTGTTTACAGAAAGCCCCTCTGCCACTCTCTTAGGGCCTTTTCGCTTCAAATTTTTAGAATGTTTTTAAGCTTTATTATCTTCTACCGATACCCAACCACATCTAGAGAACGTATCTAGTCAGTAGGATTAAGCATTTTACAGCTTTTAGTTACGAAATTGCTAGTTATAAGCACCCCCTCAGAAGCCCATAAAGGGACATAGTATACAACCTGATGTTTATGATTCTCCTCATCCACGATCTTCGTATCACAAATAAGCTCACGGAGGCCAAAGAGGGCAAATGTACTCAAGCCTACCCTGCTGGTAAGCGGGAGTTACGACTGAGTTTGAATCCGGACTGCCAGTGTGAAAAGCCAGGGTTTTGTTAGGTTTTTTTTTTTTTTTTAACACCTTGGGTGCTCTCGCTGTGTTTTCTTTGCACCTTTCTTCGTCGTGAGAAGATAGATTCTGAAAGTTCTTGCTTAGAAAGGCAATGGAGGATGTACTTCTCAACCTCCATAAATCTAAAATAGAAATGCTTAGGTGCTTCCTTAACTTGAAAGTCATTGAGGAAACACAGCAAAAGTAACGTTTTCCTATTCATCTCGCCTGACGGAAACCGATCTCCCTAGGGAGCTCCGCGGCCAAGTAACCGGGGTCGCCAGTTTGCAGAAGGAGGCAGCGGGGAGGGGCGTGGCGCGAAGCCCATTCTTATTGGTGAGTCCCCTCGCGCGTGGCCACGAGGCCCCGCCCCTCCGAGCCCCTCTAGCTCGACTCGCTGCCTGGGAGCAAAAGGGAAGGGGGTTTCTGGGCACCGATCGGCCTTCAGGGCCTCCCCTCGTCGCTCCGTTTCGGCCCTGCGGGCTGATGTCTTTCTGGAAGGTTTCTCCCGCATCCCCCTCCGCAGCCTTCGCCAGCCGACTTCCGGCCGGATCCGCCAATCACTGTGCACATCTGGCAGGAGTGGGTGGGGCCTGAGAAATTCGAAAAGAGCCCCGCCCCCTGGGAACCGATTCCTGGGACTAGGCTTTGAGGAAGAAAGCGTTTTGGTGGAAGGTGAGGCGGGCGGATAGTGGGACCTGAGGGTGGGCCGGAGGTGTGGCGTGGGTGCGGTGCCGGGGGTGTGGAAAGGTGGCTCCGGGGGAGAAAAATCCTAGAGGATAGTGGCGAGGAGGAGAACGAGGCATTCAAACAGCGGCCAGTGCGGAGAGACGAGGACGCGGGTCCCCTGGCGGGGGAGGAAGCACGCTGCACCTTTCCCGGAGGCAACGGATGCTTACGGGAAGGTGCGATTCCTGGGCACTCGCCTGCCCCCTGCGTACACCAGTCTCCTGGCTTGCACTTGGGTGAGCTGGGACTCTTGGGTAGGATGGATACCTGAGGAAAAGTGTTTTTTCTCTCCAGCTCAGCTCTAAGCTGACCCGCACCAGCTGTCGGGACATGGAGGATTCAGACGAAGGTAAGGACCCCGGGTGTGTGTGTGTGTGTGTGTGTGGCTCGGCATTGTAAAGCCATTGTCAGGGACCATTGGTTGGCATTCTTTGCTCTTCCCCCTTCAGATGTCAAATTTATCGCGGATGAGACCTTGGACTTTGGAGGGCTGTCCCCATCTGACAGGTACCAGCCCCTTTACCGCCCTGTTTCCCCCAACGCCACTTTGGCTCCAACGTTTACTTAGCAAGGTAGGGTGCACTTGGGCCGCAGAGTCGCTGGTGGACTCAGGCCTCTAGGGCGCTGTTGGTGGGAGGGAGAAAAGGAGAGAGATTTCAGGGTGTGAAGGATAAGTGGATTTGCTGCATCTCCATCTTGGCATCACTTCCAATATCAGAGATACTCAAGGCCTATTGGGACCAGATGTCTCACCACCTAGAGGCCAGATGTCACTCTTGGAATGCGCATCAGAGTCTGGGGTTGTGTCCCTGGCCTTGTTGTAGGGATCTTTCGGCCTGCCTTGTGGTCTCTGCTCTTTCGTGTGGGCATCGTGTCTTGTTTGTTTTCTGTCTCAGTCGTGAGGAGGAAGACATAGCAGTGTTGGCGACTCCAGAGAAACCACTCCGACGGGGCCTCTCCCATCGAAGTAACCCAAATATGGTGGCCCCTGCTCCCCAGGGTGTGAGGTTCAGCTTAGGCCCGCTCAGCCCAGAGAAGCTGGAGGAGATCCTTGATGAGGCCAATCGCCTGGCAGCCCAGCTGGAGCAGTGTGCCCTGCAGGAGCGGGAGAGCTCAGCAGAGGGCTCAGGGCCTCGCCGAGGGAAGCCCAGCCCTAGGAGGGAGACCTTTGTGCTGAAGGACAGCCCTGTCCGAGATCTGCTGCCCACTGTGAGCTCTTTGGCCTGGAGCACACCCTCACCAGGCAGCCTTACACCTCGACTCCGGAGCATCGAGAAGAAGGGGTCAGCCAGGGCTCTTCGGGCAACATCTGGGAAGAGGCCTTCTTCCACTGTGAGGAGGGTGAGTTTGGAAGGCTGAGTTGCATGTGGGTCCCAGAAACGGTACATGACATGCTGCAGGCACAGTGTTTTCCTCAAATGGGGATAGTAATTCTACCCCTGGAATTGTGGGAGTTAAATAAGACACCATAAGCCAAGCATTTACCACAGTATCTGTCTGTAGGCTCTCTGATGACTATAACAAACTCAGTGAGAGTGGTAGTGGTGCCGGGCATGGTGGCACATGCCTGTAATCCCAGATCTCTGGGAGACTGAGGCAGGTGGATCACAAGTTTGAGCCCAGTCTGGACAATTTAGTGATAATCTAGTGAGACCCTTTCCAAAAATAAAAATAAAAATGGCTACAAATGTAGCTCTTTGAAAAGGCCCTGGTTTCAGTCACCAATACTATGCCAAAAAAAGAGAAAAAAAAAAGTGGTATTGGTGATAGTGATGGTAATGATGACGCTGTGGCAGCTAACTTCCACTTTTCCTCACTGGGTGCTAGACAGCACCCTGCTTCTCTTCCTTAATCCCTTAAACCAGCCAAGCAGATTCTTTCTCCATTCTTGTCCTTTTTTTTTCCCCCCTTTCTGTGTTTCAGGAGTCGCCCACTTGCAATCTGTTGCCTGCATCCAAAAGCTCAGCACTGTCTCCTCTTATACGATCAACTCCTCCACCCCGATCAACTCCTCCACCCCGATCAACTCCTCCACCCCGATCAACTCCTGCAGTTCGCTCCACTCCTCCAGTCCGCTCCACTCTACCACCACGATCAACTCCGCCACTCCGATCCACTCCACCACGGGGAAAAACTGGGCCCAGTATGAGGACAACAGCAAGTGAGACTCAGGCAGCAAAGCTGTGGGTGACAGGACAGGGAGGAAGTGGAATTTACCCTGAAATCCTACTCCTTTCCAACAGGCCCATCTACCCCAGTCAGACCAGTCCTGGCCCCACAGTCTTCAACCAGCAACTCTCAACGCCTACCCAGGCCACAGGGAATAGCTGCTAAGTCTTCCAGTCGACTGCCCATTCCCTCAGCCATCCCCAGGCCCTCCAGCCGAATGCCACTCACCAACCGGAGTGTACCACCTGGCAAAGGTGCCTTACCTCCTGATTCCCTGTCAACTCGGAAAGGGCTTCCAAGATCAAGTGCTGCAGGACACAGAGGTGAGGAAAAGTGGACATAAGGGTAAGAAATCAGGAGGAAAAATACTGACCCTGGCATAGCTTTACCTCAGCGTTACAGAGTTGGCAACAATGACCACTTTCACCGCTTCCTTAAAATTCCATTTGAATGTGGGGAAACCCAATTGAGAGAATATGGACCTTCATTTCTAAGTAACTCATGGTTTTTACCTGGCAGGGGAGGCACTCTGCATTTAGCTAGTATTTCTTCTTGAGAAGCTCAGTTGAACTTTCTGCTAACTCATTTCTTTTGTTAACCCCCATCAAGCTCTTTCCCAGCAACCAAATCATCCCATCACTGGTGCCATTCGTAGCAGTATGAAGCCTCCCAGGAAAGTTGCAGTCCCTGGGCCTACCAGGTAAGACTGGTCCTGGTCCCTCTACCCCATCCTCTGGGCTTCCCAGCTGCTGTGCACAGCAGCCCTGAATTCTTTTTTTGTTTTGTTTTGTTTTTTGAGTCAGGGTCTCACTATGTAGTTGAGACTGACCTGGAACTCACTATGTAGCCCAGGCTGGTCTCAAACTCACAGCAATCCTGCCTCAGCCTCCCTAGTGCTGGAATTACAGGCGTGCGCCACCACACCTGGCTAGCCCTGAATTCTTTATGGAAAGATTAGGAATGAGGAGAGCCTGGGCAGACTGTAGGGGGATCCTGTTTCTTCCCTCCTTGAGGAATTTGGACTTAGCTGGGTAAGAGATGGGCTTGAAGGAGAGCACTTTAGAGCACTTTCTCCTTTATCTCTTCAGGTAAAGAGATTAGGACGACAAGCAGGAGTTCAGTAGCAAGACACTACAGTCACTGCATGGATTCAGCTGTACCAGCTGGGCCCAACTCCAGGATTCTGGCCTAGAACAGAAGAGGATGACGCTGGGGCCAGTCCCCAGGAATAGAGACCATCAGAGTTGGGATGGATTTAGGTTGAGCTGGAAGGGACCCAAACTCTCCGAGTTGAAAGAAGATGAAGGGAAAGAGGTTATCTCCCAGAAGTGAGATTAACAAACAGAACGAGAAATGCAGACAAGTGGCTTTTCCTCCTCCGTCCCTAATCTTGTGGTCAGCCCTGGAGAGTCTGATCTTCTTCCCAGGCCTTGGTTCACTGGACACGTCTACACGTGAATGGCCTCTATAGCCAGCCGCTGCTCTCTGAGGAGAGTCTTTCTGAATCACATCCTGCACTGGACTTGGGCCTGTTTGGAGAGAGGAAGCAGGCACCTGGTCTTCAGAACTTGTTTCCTGTGAATTCTGTGACTCGTTACAGGCCAGCTGATGATAAGCTTACTCTGTCAGTCTGCATTTTTATGAAATAAAGGGAACATATTTTTATATTTTTTGCATATCTGAAAGTGGATTCTGGTCTAACTTCTAACAAATTTAGAGTAAACCTCTGTGTAATTCTAGTGAGAGAGTCAGGATGGGCCCCCCAGGCAGGGGCTTAAACTGGTCCTAGGCCTTTGGGCTTCCAGCTCATCAGGCTGGTACTACCCCTCTTGTTGGCGTCTGATGGGAACAGGCAGCGTTTTCATGGATTCAGATAATAAGAGAGCCCAGGTCAAAATCAGGGTAGTTTAAATCAGTGTGTGAGGCTCTTATGCTAAGGTCTATGTAAATCATATCCTAGTGCGGGGTGTGGTGGTGCACGCCTGTAATCCCAGCACTCAGGAGGCTGAGGCAGGAGGATCGCTGTGAGTTCAAGACCAGCCTCAGCTACATAGTGAGCTCCAGGTCAGTCTGAACTACATAGTGAGACCCCTGTCTCAAAAAAACAAAAAATAAATAAATTATTCATATCCTACACCTGAATGTTCTTTGCACCAAGATGTTAGAGCCTTCTGGGAACTTACTGGCTACTTATCTGCTGTGCTTGTGGGATGAGGAGGCCCCTTGGCAGTGTTTGGCTTCCCTGATCATCCTACGTAGAAGATGCTGGGACACCTTGTCACATTTTCCCTCACATCATTAGAACTGTCTTTGCTCATCTTCCCTACTAGACTTGAGTGCTGGCACCAGAATTTATAGACCTCTATAGTACCCTAGTGTTGTGCCTGTGACAGAGCATTTCATTCATTTATTTAGAAAATACGAGTCCAAGATGGTCAGTATTCATTGAATGAATGACAAAGATTCCTTATCAGATTTAGTTTAGGGTCTTCACATTATTTGCACACTTTGACTCTTGCAACCACAACCAACTCAGTGCCTTGTGAGTTTTGAAAGAACTTTCTTCCCTGAAAGCCAGACTATGACTTAAGGAATACAGCAAGCAGCTGGGCAAAGGAAAGTGAGACTGCCATTTCACATCCCTGCCCATGCCTATATCCCCTTAAACAAAATGCTCCCTCTCCTGTCCCTGGACTCAGGGTCCCTCCTCTGCGTTTTTTTTTTTTTTTTTTTTTT